ATGCGGCCACGCTCGGGGCTCCGCAGTGTTGGAGGCTGAGGCCAGGCAGCCCCCAGTGGCGGGGATGCGCTTCCCTGACCCAGGGCCACACCACAGGCGGGGTGCACTTGGGAAGGGGGGGGAGGCCTCTCCTCTCCTGGGACCCCCCTGCCCCCAGCACACCTGTCTTCAGAGGGTGCTGTGCCCTCTCACCCTGCCCTGGGCAGCCCCAAAGGGCCTAGGATGGGGGCTGACACCCTTTGGGAAGACGCCCTCCGGGGACGAAATGGGAAGTCCACGCCCAAGGACCCCATTCCACGGCTTAGTGCTGTGTGCTCGTTTTCACTCAGTCATTTGACAAACCCTTTGCCTGTGGGCCGGACATTGCCAGGGGTTAAGGGCAAACAGTGATCGGATGGTGTAGACCGAGGTGAAGGAAGGACGTGGTCTGGGTTTGTGACAACTCCAGGGTCTCTAGGGCTGTGAGGGTCCCACTGGGGCTGGGGGTCTGCTCTGGCATGGGCTCAATAAGGGTGGCCACTCGGCTCCCATATCTAACACACTCTAGGGTCCGAGTAGATATTTGTGAGTGAATGACTTGGAATGGAGACGTGGCCTCACTTTCGGGAACGGTCCCAGAAGCTGAATCATAGAGGCCGGGTCTGCCCGGCCCCTTCCTTTTGAGCCACCCCTCCCTCCGCCCCCCCTTCCCTCCACGGGGCTGGCAACCCAGAGGCTCTGGAGGACCCAGGTCTGCAGATGTCATCTCTGGTCTTGATGAAGGTGACTTTGATCTAAGGCAGCAGCTGCGGCATTTCCTGGGAGGGTCCGGTTCAGCTGGTCCAGAGCTCTGGGTGGGAGAAGCTCTGTTTTTGCATTTCCGACACAGCGGGTGACTCCCCCCTCCCCTCGCCCCTGGCCAGGCTCCCCCACTGGGCCTGCATCCTGCCAGACACAGCAAAGCACATTCCTGAGCCTCGGCCTTGGAGATTAGGAGTGCGATTTTGACACCAAGGCCAGGCCTTCGGCCCCTTCGGAGATGTCTCGTCTTGGCTTGGTGATGTCTCCTGAGCCCCAGCACCTGGCTGCTCTAGAGAGTTCTGGAAAGGGGGACAGCTCCTCCTCTTCAGGGTCCAGCCCAGACATCACTGATTCCAGACACCGGGTACAGCGTAGAATCCCGCCGGGCCTTGGTGTCCTCATCTGAAACTTGGGGCTCAGAGCTCCTGCTCTCTGCTTCCTGGGGTGCTGTGAGTCACGTGAGGTGGGGGCGATGAGCCCTGGGGTGTTGAGAGGTGCTGGCTGGTTGGAACGTGGGCCCCGGCGCCAGCCCGCCTGGGTTCAAAGCTTGGCTCCAGCACTTACACGGTGTCTGACCTCAGGCCAGCCGCTCCCTCGAGTGAGGGTAAGAGTACTTGCCTCAGCGAGTTCTTAAGAGAATGTGAAAAACTCCGAGGCATTTCCAGGGCCATCAGAGTGTTAGCTGTAATCATTGTCACACGCATTCCGGGGATTGTGAGCAATAAGTAAACGCTCTGTAACTATAAACGGCCTGTGAGTGAAGGGGCTGGCACACACCGCTCCAGAGAGCGGCCAGTGGAGGGCAAGGAGGGCCCGGTGCCTGCCGGACCCTGGCTGGTGGGAGGCCCGAGCTCCCGGTCCTTGGGCGGGGCCTGCTGGGTGTCCTGGGCCTTCACTGTCTCACTGTGGGGTCTCTTGCAGACATTGACGAGTGTGTGACTGGCGCACACAACTGCTCCATCAATGAGACCTGCTTCAACATCCAGGGCAGCTTCCGCTGCCTGGCCTTCGAGTGTCCGGAGAACTACCGCCGCTCCGCGGACACGTAAGTCCCTCAGCCCGCCGTTGTCTGTCTGTCTGTCTGTGTCGGCCTCCTGGGGGTCCGGCTCCCAGCCTGTGCAGGGGGTCAGTGAGCTGTGCCCTCCCACAGCAGTCTTGGGAAACTCGAGGATTGGAGGACCCCTGGCTCTCAGGCCCCTAAATGCCAGTGAGACTGGTCCCAGAAACTAAGGTTATGACCTCCAGTGACCTGAGGGCTGGCGGGCCGCTCTCTGAGCGGGCTGTGCGTGCAGCCGGGCTGAGCCCGGACCTCTCATTTCCCTTGTGAAACGTGGGCAGGGGGCAGCTCTCCGGCCTCAGTGTCCTCGTCTGAGACACACAATGTCAGGACGCTCTGAATCAGATGGAGGGAGCGACTCCTCCAAGCAGGACGACATGACTTGTGGGGGCATCCTCATCAGCCATCTGAAGGCCAGATTCTGTCTGGCCTGGTGACTGCGGGAACTGCGTGGGAGATTCTGCACCCCCAGTTTGAAGCCGTGTGTCTATACGCCACTGTAAGCCTGCTCCCCGCTGGGCCACTGGGGGTCTGCTGGGGTGGCAGGGGGGCCCCTTCCTCAGACCACTGCAGACCACCCCACCCCTGATTTCACTGGGAGGGTCTCGGTGAGTACCATGGGCAGTCACTTCAGGACAAGCTGCACAACAGGAGACAGTCTCAGGAATATGGCTGCTCGACCCCGCCCTGTCCCTGGAAACGGCTCAGAGCCAGCGCACAGCCAGGCTGACTGTGTGACTTGGCCTCTTGCTCTTGAGCCTGCTCCCCCCACCAGAGGGTCAGTACCTTCATGCATGGTACGCCGGGCCCCAGCGTCCGTCCCCTTGCTCAGCCCCAGGGCCCTGGCTCCTGGCGCTGGCCTGGCCTCCAGCCTGTTGAAACCCAGAGCAGGTCTCAGCCGACGCTCACACAGCCCTGTCTCCCGGCAGCACTCTGCGTTCTTCCCAGCCTCGGGGGGCTCACTCGCCACCTCCCCCGTTCCCTCAGCATGTTTTGTCCGCTGGGAAGCCCATCCCCTCGCTTCTTTCATGGGTTCTGGTTAGGAAGAAGCCGCCCCAGAACGGGGTTTGCGAGTGCACAGCATTCCAAAGAGGCTGTGGTACTCAGTGGCGCCACGGGCAGCTGTGGCGTTCCTCTGAGTGGTTAACAGAGCCGTGTCCTTAATGTTGGCTGTGCTGCCGTTTGTCGTAAGTTCTCTTGCTCTCATAGTTCTGTCTGCCTCTGCTGTTAGCCGCCACTCTCCACCTCACACACAGCCACGAAAGTAAAAGCGGGGAGGCTGCCCCATGCGGGGTCTTCGTGCCTCCTGTGCTGGCGGCTGGGCGGGTCACCCTTGTAAACCGAGGCTGTGCTGAAATCCGCAGACCAGCTACTCCCCCTTGTGGGGCTGTGTAAGCCTTTGACACCCTCAGGGCTGGAGAAACTCACTGGCTGGTTTGGGGAATGCAGGCTGCAGGCTTACTGTGTGCAGACACCTGGGCAGACAGACGGTGGGCCTTCGAGGCCCCCAGCCACTGCCCACTAAGAGCACTGCAAACCCAGCAATGGCCACAGAGGGCAGGGGTGCTGAGACCAAGCAGGTCCCCCATGTGGCTGGGCAGTGGCAGGGGGCGCCTGGAGCAGGCGATGCTTGAACGAAGTGGAAGTGTGAGGGAGGCGCTGAGCCAGGCAGAGAAGGAGGGGGTGCAGGGGGAGACCACAGAGGGGTGCAGAGGCACAGGGAGCTGGCGTGGAAGGAGTCCCAGCGAGGAAATGGGGTGTTCGTCAGGAACGGCAGTGCTCGGTGAGGGCTGGACACTCCGAGGCCTGGTTTGTCCCCATTTCATGGCTTCATCAGCCTGTTCCCTAGGCTGATGGGAACAGAAGGGGCTGACCATTCTTCATAAGCAAGGTCAGGAAGTGGGCCCCCACCTAGAGTAAAGGCCAGAGGGGCAGCCTGAGGCTCCAGCTGGCCCACCCATCCCGAAGGGGGCCCCTGCCTTAGCTCCCACTCCTGCTCACTAGCACCACCCAGTGGCCAAAGCAGAGGCTGGGTGGAGCAGGGAGTTTAACGAGCTTCCTCACCTGAGCAGGGCCCAGCAAGGCCCCTGTCATCTCATGAGGATGCTGAGGCATTCTGGAAAGATCCTGGCTTAGGAGTCAGGACTGTGTGAGTTTGCCTTCTGGCTCAGTCCATTCCAGGTCCCTTGACCTTGACCAGAAGCAGGTCCCATCAGAGCCTCCATGTCCTCAGTGGTACAGGGAGTAGGGACAGACCCCGCTCCATAAAGCTCACTCTGGGTTCACCTCCTGTGGGGCCTGTGTGGGCACTCCAAGGCGTAGTTCACTGCCAGTGCTGTGGCTCTCCTGCTCCTCAGGGCAGTGGCCTTGGGTCAGCCCGTTGGCCCCCAGGGGCCCTGTCATACCTGCTTGGCAAGGCCTGAGGATGCTCCAGGCACCCAGCCCAGTGCCAGCGCTGGTGCTCAGGAAACTGGTGGTGAGGAGGGGAGAAGCCCCCGCCGTCTTCCTCAGGACACAGCCAGTCAGAAGGGGGAGGTTCCTTCGGGCCTCTCCATGTTCTTGCTCTGCAAGCTGACTGTGTGACCACTGAGTCCCTTGGCCCTCCCCGGGGACACAGGTGAGGCTCCCGCAGGGCTGAGTGCTCACGGGGCCACCCTCACTGCTGCTCATGGAAACCTGTCTGGTGACAGTTTTCTCCTTTTCTGATCCCTCTTGACAATCATGGCCTCGGCCTGGAATCCCAAATGGAGGAACAATGGGGGCCTTATCCCGGCTGCTCCACCCCCGTCAGGGGACTTCCTGTGGGACCATCTGAACGCTGATACCTCAGTGTGAGCTCAGTGATAAGTCACCGATAAGTCACGTCAGCAGAATTTTCTATTTTACGGCTCATTTCTCTTCTCTTCAAAAAGCCTCTTTAACATTTTTTAAAAGACCCTTTTAATAATTTTATTTATTTATTTTTAGAGAGAGGGGAAGGGAGGGAGAGAGAGAGGAACATCAGTCAGTTGCCTCTCGCGCACTCTACAACCAGAGACCTGGCCCACACCCCAGGCATGTGCCCTGACTGGGAATCAGACTGGCACCGAATCACTGAGCCACACCAGCGAGGGCTCAAAAGTCTCTTAGAGACTTTGTTGTTATACGACCTTGAGAAAGCTGTATGAGAAAGGACCGGGTGGCCCGCACATCCGTGGTCAGCACTCCACGAGAGTGCTCGCTCAGGGGACCCTGACAGGCGAGATTGAAGAGTCCCTCGCTCCCTCTGCGCCTCAGCCGTCCCTCTCTCTGCGGTCTCCTGCGCAGTGTCCCTGGTGACCAAGGGGCAGTAACCGGAGCATGACCAGCAGGCTGGGCCACAGACCGCAGGGCTGGGCTCGGCGGACCAAGCAGGCTGTTAGGATAACCACACGGTTCCCTCCTGCCCACAGGAGGGACGTTCAAAATGCCCCAGGGCCTGGGAGGGGACGGAAAATATTCTCTTTATCTCCTCAGCGGGGCTGCCCCCTGAGACTTGCGGTCTCGGAAGCCAAGCCGGGGCCAGCAGCCTGGGTTTGCACAGCTCTTGGCCTGAGGGTGTACTTGCTGTGGACAAGGGGTGAGGCCCGGCCCTGGCCACTCCCGGGGCCGGTCTCCAAAGTGACGAGTGTGTGAAGGTCAGGGACAGCTGCAAGCATCAGACAGCCTGGGAGGAGCCGGAATGGCCATGTGTCCCCGGAGGAGGGACAGGGCCTCGAGGACCTTTTTTTTCTGGTACATGGTGGCTTTCCAAATTGCATTTTCATGGAACTGTGGTCTTGTGATTCAATGTGGCGAGGAGAAAAATTGGGGCGCATCTTTCTCATGTGCGTGATGAGATGGAAACCAAGGCGCGGGGTCCCAGGGGCCGGGCTCTCCTGCGCTGTGGTAGGCGTGGTGACGACAGACCATCCTCAGTGTAGATACACCAGCTGCCAAAGACTTTGGTGCCGTTCTCGGTCTAACAGGAGGTTTGCCAGAAACAGTGGTTAGGTTTTCTGGGATGCTTCAGTAAGTTTGGGGCATGGCAGGGTGAGACAGTTGGCCTCGGAACTGATCGGGACTGTGCTGATGGGTGTGCATTTACTGGACACATAGTAGGTGTCGAGCCCATGCTGGGTACTGGAGATGGAGCCAAAGAGCTGCGGCCGCGGCCTTGGGAAGCCAGTGGTCTAGAGGGAGCCGGGCCCAGCAACGCCTAGTGTGAGGAGGCTGGGCGCTCTGGCTTCCGGGAGTGTGGAGCCTGCCGAGGAGGGGAGTGCTTGGCTGTCTCGTGCGTGCGGGCTGCGGGGGTTACGCCAGAGCATCAGGCACACTTCACATTCCCCGCCTTCCACGTGTGCTGGGTTAATGTGTCAAAACCCTGCCCTCGGACGGGGGTGGGCTGCGCACAAGCAGGAAAGCGCAACTCCCATAAAGGAGACTCTGGCGCCACCTGCTGGCCAGATCCACCTGCCGGCTTTCTGAAGGGGGCGCGGGTGGGCGCGGGTGTGCGCGGACGTATAAAGGCTTTGAAGTGAGACAGGCGTACTCAGTCTCTGCCACTGACTACAGACCGTGGAGTTAGGGGCTCGCTGGGCTCCAGTCTCCCCGTCAGGAGAATCGGGAGACCGGTGTGGGACAGCGGAGTGAGCTGGGGGAGGAGAAAGCCCGGCGTTGTCCCCCAGGGCCTCCCGCGTCGCCTGGGGCGCTCCCCGCTGGCCCGGACTCAGGTGTCTCTGGGATCCGACTGCCCCTCGGCAGCACCCAGGCCCACCTTTTCCCCAGCCTCTCCCCTCTGCCTCTGGGTTCCCTCCCATGTGTGACCCCCCTTTCACTGTTTCTGATCCTCACATACCTGCAGTGCCATGGAGCCATGGACTGTCCTTCTAAAACTCAGAATGGAAGGGTTGCTGTTTTTCCGCATGAAGAGCCTGGAAATAGGGTGTAAAAAGAGTCCATACTCACAATAAATGCCAACTTGAGGCACGGAAACTTAAAAAGCTGATTCGGAGACATGATGGAAGACTAGGGTAGGAGGCGCTACTGACTGCAGAATCCGGACGCAGCCCAGATGGCAGAACTTCCCGGGGTGTGCGCCGCCACGTCCTGGGGCTCCGCACCTCCACTCTGCTTCCTCGGGCTGCCGTCCTCACTGTGTGAAGGGCCTGAAGTTCAGGTGGCAGAAGGTAGCTCCTGTCCTCCTCCTGTCAGAGGAAGTTGGGAGCTATCACCATTCTGTCACAGGAACTTAGGAACTATCACTGTTCTGTCACAGGAACTTAGAAACTATCACTGTTCTGTCACAGGAAGTTAGAACCTGTATCCGGAAGTTAAAGTCTGTCTCCCTCCTGTCACAGGATATTAGGAGCTATCACTGTTCTGTCACAGGAAGATAGAAACTGTCATTGTTCTGTCACAGGAAATTAGGAGCTATCACTGTTCTGTCACAGGAAGATAGAACCTATAACAGGAAGTTAGAACCTGTAAAGTAAGTGTCTCCTCAGGTTTTTTAGAAGCTTTTATGTATGTTCTGCACAGAACCCAGGAAGTTAGAACCTGTAACCGGAAGTTAGAGTCTGTCTCCCTCCTGTCACAGGAAGTTGGGAGCTATCACTGTTCTGTCACAGGAAGATAGAACCTATAACAGGAAGTTAGAACCTGTAACCGGAAGTTAGAGTCTGTCTCCCTCCTGTCACAGGAAGTCAGAATCTGTCTCCATCTCCGTTCCAAGCCCTGGCTGGCCCTGTGGACACAGACAGGGAACTGGGCCTGGAGCACAAGGCCTAGTGAGGGGAAAGGGGAACAGCCCTCACACCCGAGCACCAATCAGGCTTCCTCACTCCGAGACCTTGGAAAGGCACTCACTCTTCCGGCCTCAGTTTCCTCATTTGAAAAATGGCGCTGACCCACCCTCGCAGTACAGTGGCAGTGATCACACCAGGGAATGTATGGTGGCGAATAGCCAGCGAACACTTGATAAATGGCAACCGCTGTGGTTGCTAGTAGCAAAGATGATCATGTCTGGGGCGATCTCTTCAACACCCTTCGAGGGCCCCACGGAGCCCTGACCACTGAAGGGCCAGGAGCCTTGTGCCACTCAGAGGGCAGGGTGTGCCTGGTGAGTGCAGCCCAGGGTGGGGCTCTGCCGGTGAGAAGGGGACACACCTCAGTCTGGGCACAACAACCCTTGGCCCCAGCCACCCAGCACTCCCCGGGGGTGTTGGAAGAGGCTAGTGCCTGAGTCAGCAGCCCCGAGGCCCACGGCACCTCCCACAGGTGAGTGAGGGGTGCTCCTCCCATCGACTGAACTGGCCGGAGGGGCGGCGGGAGGCCCTGCACAGCGAGCCCCCGCTTGCCCGCGCTCTGTTGTTTCTCTGCTTGCTGAACGGGCCCTAACCCTCTTCTTGTCTCTCTGTCCACTTTTCTTGCAGCCGCTGTGAGCGCTTGCCCTGCCATGAGAATCAGGAGTGCCACAAGCTGCCTCTGAGAATAACCCACTACCACCTCTCTTTCCCCACCAACATCCAAGTGCCCGCGGTGGTTTTCCGCATGGGCCCCTCCAGTTCTGTCCCCGGGGACAGCATGCAGCTGGCCATCACCAGCGGCAATGAGGAGGGCTTTTTCACCACCCGGAAGGTGAGCCACCACAGTGGGGTGGTGGCCCTCACCAAGCCCGTCCCCGAGCCCAGGGACCTGCTCCTGACCGTCAAGATGGACCTCTATCGCCACGGCACCGTCAGCTCCTTTGTGGCCAAGCTTTTCATCTTTGTGTCCGCAGATCTCTGAGCACTTGCTTTGGGCCGTGGGGCTCTCTCTTGTCGCTTTCCTAACCCTCCTTGCCGGGATTTGAATAAAGTTTAGCAGGCGATCCCACCCCGCATGCCTCGCGTGCCTTGGTTTTATTTGGTGCAGTTGGAAGTCTCTGTGTTGCTTTTCATCCAGAGTGAGCTAAGCACTTGCCACTGCCCGGTGCCCCCAGAGGATGACCGAGGGGTGTCTTCTATAAAGGGGTGCACACCTGGGTGTGTCTGTCGATGGGAGTCACTGTACATATCTCCTGGGACCCCAGGCGAGGGGAGAACGGGGCTCAGTGCACCGTGTCAGATGAGTTCTCTCTTCTCCATTGTGAGCCCAAAGGACAATGATGGAGAAGGGCCCTCGGAGAGCAGTGAGTGCCATCTCCTCTCATTTTACAAATGTGGAAACTGAGGCCCTGAGGATGGGAGGAGCTTGGCCGAGGTCACATGGCCTGTTTGAAGCCAGGCCTCAGGCTCCAGCTGGGTTTCTTTGTCGTGTTGTCTGGAGCTGAGCATCTCATGGGGGCAAAACAGAGATGTGTATGTATGTGTGTGAGATGTGAATTTGCTGTCCCATTCATCCCATGAGAAGCCTGACTTCGTGGTGGAAAACCCTGAGCACTGTTGAGGCATCTCAGATGCAGCTGTGGCTGAAGTGAGGTCGGTGCGTCCACTGAGGACGCGCCCGCGCTGGGAGGAGGCAGTGGAAGTGCTGCTGTGGGAATCCTGGGTGGGCAACGGGCCCTGCGCATGTGTTACCGCCAATCCCTCAAGGCAGGTGTATCGGCCTCCTAGAGACTCAGAGAGGGTGAGGGGTTTGCCCAAGGTCACACAGCTGGTTTCCAAACCTCGGTTTTCAGACTGCACGGCTGACCGTCCCACTCTGTCACACCCCTCCCTGTGGGTTCTGACCCACTGGCTCTCCCTCTCCACCACAGTCGCAGCCGAACCAGTGTCACAAGTCCCCAGTGTGTTTTTCAAGGCCCTGCATAACGTAGTTCTGCATGCAGCTCCAGTCTTACCCCCGCCCCCCACCCCAGCCCCGTCCACTTGCTCACTTCCCTCAGGCCTCACCGACAAGCTCTTTGCTGCCTCAGGTCCTTTGCTCATGCTTTGCACCCTTCGCCTGAGTGTGAGTTAAATTTCAGCTGAAGTGTTCTTTCCTCAGAAATGCCTTCCATGAGCTTACACTTCTGTTAGTCTTTGTCCTATTACTTCCTTCGTGGTGATTATCACGGTTCTTAGTGGCCATTTCTTCTCCATCTTCCCCACCATCCAGCAAGCTCCACGAAGGTGACCAAGTCACCTCGGTCAGTACCGTGTCCCTAGCCCCTAGCAAGATGCCACTCGCATGCTAGGGTCCCGCACATGGATTAGTTTGGAGATCATTGAAACTATGCACCAGGACAGGTCTGGTACGTGATAGGCAGTCAGCACTGTTGGCCTCTTCACTCCCTGGACAGTGCCTGAGTGTGCATTTGGCTCTTGATTCAGATGCGGAGTGAACCTTCAGAGGGTCGGCGTGTACCCGAGGTCATCGGTGTACAGAGCTGCCATGCCCTCTGCCTCCCAGACCTGTGCACTTTTGACTGAGTCACTACCAAGCCAGACTCCCAAGGGGACGTGGTCAGAATCGTGATTGTCATTACGATGACGATAATAAGAACTGTGACAGCTGACACTCTGCTTACCGTGAGCCAGGCATTGTTCCAAGTGCTTAACTAACCTCACAGCGGCCTTTCGGGGAAAGTACCGTTACGACCCCCACCTCACGATACAGACGTGGACACATAGGGAGCTTAAGTCACTTGCCCAAAGCCTCACAGCTGGCACTGGAGGGGAGGGGACGCTGGGATTCAAGGGGGCAGCCTGGCCCCGGGCATCTGTGCCTGGGAGCCCCGCTCATGCCGCCTCACATGCTCCGAGGAGGGCAGGGTCTCCGGGACTAGGCCGTGCCGGTCAGGTTGGCCTCTAGCCTCGTCTCGGGAAGCCTGGGTACCAGCCGTATCTACAGTTTTCACGGGCAGAACGGGACATTCTATTGGCTAAAGGCGGAGGCAGCGCGGTGCGGAGGGAAAAGCTGTGAAGTTAGAGGGGACAGTGTGGGCCGAGGGTCCAGCACAGATTCTGGGAAGAGGGGAGACACAGCCCCGAGGGTTCGAAGCTCTCTAGGTCCCAACCGAAATGCACAGAACAACTAGAGAAGGAATTTTTTTCTTTAAAGATTTTATTTATTTATCTTTAGAGGGGAAGGGAAGGAGAGAGGGAGAGACACATCATTGTGTGGTTGCCTCTCGTGTGTCCCCTGCTGGCCTGCAACCCAGGCATGCGCCCCAACCAGGAATCGAACCATGATTCTTTGGTTCGCAGGCCCGCGCTCAATCCACCGAGCCACACCAGCCAGGGCTAGATAAGGAATTTTTAAAATCCCTGGAAAACATTTACAACTCAACGAGATGACAGGGTACCCCACAAACCCCAAAATACAGCTCATGCCCACCTGTGTGGAACTGGCATGCATGCAGGCGAAAGGAGTAGGAACCCCCTAAACAGTTCACGAGTTTCCCCTGCTAAGTCTAATAGACCAATTTGGGGACAGCAGTTGACATTGGGAGTCATTTTGCTCCCCGCCCCCATGGCCAGGGTGCTCAGGGGCTTGCAGGAGGTTTAAAGGGCCACCTGGCCCATGGGAATTCTTGCAGCTGAACCCCCAGGGGTTCCCTGAAGCTCACGATCTCACACTGCGCAAAAATTGCTGGGAATGAAGTAGGAAACTGAGTGGAAAAGAGACAGTAGGGACGATGGAGATAGAAGTCCGGGTAACGCGAATATCAGAAAGCAAGAAATGACAAACGAGGGAGCTCTGCAAAGTTGAAAAACAAAACAAGCAAAAACAAACCCTGCTACGAACCATGCCTCTTCCTAAAATTGTAGGAAAACTAGTTTCACAGAAAAACATTCAACCAAAACCTATGAAGGTTAAATGTCCTATACAGTTATTGTAAGAAAAAAGAATAAAGAACAGATCGACGTGCCTCTGGGTAATGACAGAATACCGGAAAGATATGCTCATAGATGACATTAAAACTGTAACTGATCTAAAAGCACTAAGACAATGATCAAAAATGGAAGAAAAACGTAAGTCAGAGTTAGGAAAAAAACTGAGAGATGAAGTGATTAAATAATTCCATATCAAGGCAAAAAGCAATTTCAGAAACAAATAGGAGAAATAAACTGAAAGGGATGGTGAATGCAATGGATAGAAATACATCAGATAGTTTAAGTCCTTGAGTTCCTACTGATGTTGAAATCATCATGGGTAACTTCTGGGTGATGGTAGACAGCTAGCTAGCTCATTATCCTTAAAACTGGTAAATAGGAGGGAAGAATTCAGCATTGATCCTGCTTTTCTTCTGTGAACTATCCTGCCTGGTAACCAGATCACGTAGGAGGGGCAGTGTCTGGTTACAGAAGTTGTCCAACCAATAAATGAAACAGAAACAATGGAGTCA